TGGTGTAGACACAGTAAGTTTCTGCTGAGTTGCTTTTTTTTTTTTTTTTTTTTTTTTTTTTTTTTTAGTAGAAAGAGTTTATCTGATAACAGTCAATGTGGCATACAGGAATAATTAGTAAGAAATGAAGAAATGACATCCAGGCTGGGCACACGTTGAAAAGGGCATTCCTCTGAGGGGATGGCAGGACACGGGAGAACATGCTGTATAGCCAGGAGAGGCTATGGGAACACTGTGTAAGGGGAAATCTGGGACTGGGCTAGGAAATTATGCATGAATTTGACCACTGAAACACTAAGGGAGATTCTGAGCACTACTTAACAGGTCTGAGGGAAGGGAACATAGAAGGAGCCAGATTTTGGTTAAATGTAGGGAAAAATTCCCAGTAGGAGGGTGGCAGGAAAAGTCATTACTAAGTTGGTTTAGGTTAATCTACAGTGCAGCAGGGTTTCTGTAGTGGCCTGTGGCAACAGGCTGAGCCTGCATGGGTCTCCGGCGGCAGTGCCAGCTGCGCTCAGCCCAGGGTGGACGTCGAGGTCATCACAAAGGTGTGTTTGCCTGTCTCTGCCACCGAACTGTGAGCTGCATGAGGGTGTGTTATTGTGTCTGTTTATTTTTAAATCTCTAGCACATACTGTAGCTCTTAGCTTGTGGCAGGCGCTTGACAAATATTCAATAGACAATGAAAAACAAATGATGCGGGCAGAGGTGCCAATGTTTGGGTGAAGGTGGGAAAGCTGAAAAGTGTCTTCTTGGGCCTATGCTTTGTGGATAGAAAACCCAGTAGGCCTGGAAGGCTCCATCAAAGTCTCAGGTGGGAGGTTGTGTCACAAGGCAGCAGAGGCGTGTGAAGGTCATTTCACGGGTTGTTGGAGTCTTGGGATCAAATCAGTGTGGGACCCCTAAGTATCATGTGGCACTTCCTGTCCTTCTCTGAGGGAAGGATGGTCACAAAGCAGACCCAGCTTCCTCCCCAATGAGCGCTGGAGGTGGACAAGGGGCAGGAGAGCTCGCTGAGCTGTGAAACCCCAAACTACAGAGGCTCTGGCTCTTCCAGCACGCCAGTCCACCCGCGCCATTCCAGTCCACTGCAGAGGAACACAGCGGCTTCTTTTTAATTGTGACTCTTGACATTCAGGCCTGCATGTCACCATCATTTATTAACATTTAAATTCTTAAAATATATCTATTACATCATCCTTCACTTTTGTACAATGTATGGTTTTGTACAATGTATGAAATTTCCACCACCAATTCCCCCTGCACCATCACCCTCATCCCTGTGATCTTCCCACCCCTGTCCCGATCCTTCTCCCTTCTCCTCCCCTACAGAATGTCTCTAATCTATCGTTTCCTAATGATTTCTTAATTGTGGCAAAATACACATAACAGAAAATTTACCATTTTAGCCCTTTAGAATTTTCCATGTAATTTAGTAATACTAAATTCATTCGCACTGTTATACAACAAGCTCCAGATCTTTTTGTGGAGCTGAAGCTTTCTACCCATCAAACAAGTGCCTGTGTCTCCTCGTCCACTCTGTGTTTATCACACAAAATTCCTCAGGATACCTCAGCTGAAACCCTTAACTCTCACCATGTCTCAAAGATCCTGGAGGATGACATCTTTAGGATCAAGGGGACACACAGGAATAGTGTTTGAGCTATATTTGTCCAGATTCTGGAATGAGCACCCTGGAAGTCCCCCCAAAAAAGGCTTGAAGCCTTTAGTTTCCAGTACATGCCTGCTCTTGGGAGGGGTGTGGAGAGGCCAGGACCAGGAGCAGAAAGCTGAGATTAAAGGTCATAAGTAGGTTATCCTCATGGCCTGAGACCTTTCATTCAAGGCTGGGCTCCCACATTCCCTGAGGTCTTCTGATACTGCAGAGGCCCACTTCCCCCTGCAGACTCCAATTGCCTGGAACATGTAAATCCGTGCCTTCCCAAACCCCTGTCACAGAAGGGGACACCTGTACCCATCCTCTTGGTCTCTTCTTGGGTTCATAAAATTTTGGTCCCATTTGCCACCATCTCCTTTAAAGCATGCCTCTCCCTAGACCCCGATTCTGCCCTTGAGCTCACTTCCAAGATTGCTTTCACTTGCTGCTCTGAGTAAGTTCAGAAATACCATTTTTTTGTTGAGAAGCAGCTGAAGAGTCCAGGTTTTTTAAAGCCTTCTCTCTGGGTGTCACTTCACCCTGGAATGGGGGGAAGCTGCTCCCAGGGTTGAGCCTCAGAGTCCCTGTTATCAGAAGTTTCCCCTTGGAAGGAAGCTCACTCCCAAGAAAGTGAAGCAGGTGTCTGGCTGTCCTCTGCTGCAGGTACAGCTCAGAAGGTGGGAGGTGCTTTTGCAATTGTCCGTGTCCCACAGGCCAGTGAATGCAGGGCACCAAGAAAAAGAGCAAAGACTGGTCATCTTCCTGTTCTCAAAAATCCTATTATCTGCTTGTTGAAAACAGACAACCCATGTGAAAAGATGACTAAATATGCCAGGCAGTAAATGTAAAATGCCATCTGAGTTGAATGGACTACATATCCGACATAAGTTCAGAGGCAAGGCCAAGATCACTTCCAGCTGTGGCAGTCAAGGTAGGCCTCACAGAGGAAGGCCTGCAGAGAGCCTAGCCTGAAGGGCGAGCCACCTGTGGACTGGCAGGGAGAAGGGGTGCCCACCTCAAGGGTAGATGAAGACATGCATGCTTTCTAAATGCATTCTCTTTCAAGGTTTTATATGTCTGCTCTGCCTTTGTTATCTGGGTGAGTAAAGAGTGGGGAGTTGGAGAGGTGCTGTGGTGTGTCAGAATTGGGGGCTTGCCCGTCGGAGGGACTGAAGCAATGACTCCAGATGGGTGGGAGTGAGGGTCTTGGATTAGCTGCTTCAAAGTTTAGTGGTGGGTAGCATAGACAGAAACCTGCTACAGCTGAATTTATAAGTTTATTTCTGAACAAATAATGGTGGGTAAAATTAGCAGACATCTGGAAGAGGCACATATTTCAAAGTTATTTTGGTCTGATCTATAAAGCGCACTATGAGGAATATGATTGGTAGCTGGTCTTAATAAACAGTTAGTGGGTTTCTGCCTGCCTGAAATGCAAAACAGATGTATCTTTGTTCTTTTAAACTGACTTTGATGAATAAACTATATGTGACGTCAGGTCCAAGCTATTGGATGTCTGAGTCCTACTCAGAAATATTTCAGAATATAAAAAAGTTTCCATGGTCGACACCGAGAGAACAAAGTGAATTCCAGGCGCGTTGCTGTTCACATTGAAGCAGGTTCAGAAATTCAGAGAGGCCCTCGTCCAACAACCCCTTTTGGTATTTGGGGGGCATTGTTTCTCTCTGCTGCACCCTCCCATTTCACAGCTGTGAGCTCCGAAGGCGTGTGGCTTTCAGCTGTCACTGCAGGGGCTTTGGTCGGTCATTATTGCTGTTTTGCTTATTTGCACAAATGTTTCCGAAAACAGCAAAATAGGATTCTGCAGTAGTGACCCAGTATCTGCAGACTGTGTGATGTTGCCATTTCCCTCAGTTTGCTTGGTTATGAATGATGCAGGACTTTTAATCATTAGCATCTTGGCGTGGCTGGGTGTTTTGGCAGACTGGCTCTCCAGCCAGCTCTGTGCTGCGCTCTGTACATCAGGAAACCAGCTCCCTCTGCAGGTGTTTCATCCATAAACAAGCTTAGGCCACGGGCTCCTCTTTCTTTTTACGGAAACCCTTTGGAATTTAACTTTCAGATACAAATACTTGGAGCAGTTAGCAGCTGAGGCTCGGGAGAAGGAACTGAGAAGCCGGAGTGTGAGCCGGGGCAGAGCCGACCTCTCCTTGGACCTGACCTCACCCACAGCCCCTGCCTCCTCCGCCCTTCTGAGCCGAAGCCCTTCGTCTCCAGACTCCCAGGAGGCTCTCAGGGTATCATCATCCTCCCCCGGAACATCTCAGCATTCCCAAGGTGAGTGCTGGCTGAGCAGAGCAACAAGCTGATGGGTTAATTAACATCAGCTTGGCTTCCTCTGGGGCATGTAACTATTCTACCTGCAAACCAAGACCAAGAGGCACATAAGGATAAATTACAGGGTGATTAATTTGTGCTGCTACTATGAGGCTAGATGTCTTCAGAGCCACTTATATTAAAGCAAAGTAATTTATAAAGATTGTCAGTACATTATCATTGAAGAGAGGGAATACTGAAAATAAGACTTCGATAGAAATCTAATCTTCAGTCACAGGCTATTAACTGAGTGCCTTATAATTTGGATATTTTTTTTGAACTGCCCCCAAAAGTGCCCACTTTTGAATGTTCTCGCCCTCGGGGTTGTTAGTCTGATTAAATTAAACTGATGGAGAATAAAATTAATCAAAGCAAGCAAAGAAATATGAGGACCTAGTAAAAACAGAAGTTAATATTGAAGAAGAAAAAAATTGAAAATGCTAAAGATCACTGGCACATGGTGTGGGTGTGGGTATAGATGTTGGTGTGCAGACAGGCCCTGTAGAAATTCCCTGTCATCTTAACTTTATTTGGAGAAAAGCAATGAAACTGTACTGTGCAGCCTTGGGGCATCAGCTGTTTTCTTTGCAAATTGTTCATCCATTTTAGCAGAGAGGATGTTTCTGGGGCATAGGTGCTTAATGCATGTTGATTAAACCTGTAGCTAGCTAGCACTGTTTAATCGAGTGTTATGACTTGCAGCTGATGTAGACTTAGACATCTGAAGACAGCAGAGGCACTAAACGTAACTCTCGGAAGGTTGACTAAATATGGTGCAAAGTTTAATTTCAACAAGACAGGACTCCGTGACCTCAGCAGAACTGGATGTAACGGAACAGTCTTGTCTGCTCAATTCTTTGCTGGCAGGCTGAGCCCCGGGGCTCATTCTGCAGGAGCAGCAGACTGGCTCCTCCACAGCTTCCCATGACATCCAGTTCTCCTGGCCCCTGTGCCGTGGAAGATTGTCCCAGGCAGATGGCTCAGTCACAGATGAGTAATGTTGGTCTTAAAATATTGAGACTCTAAGAATCAGGAAAACAGACTGCTCTTTAACTACACTGTGCTTTCCAAGCCAGGCCTGATATCACTGCTTGATCTAAATGGTGCTATTTCCAGAGACAATCTGAAAAATATTCCCCTGCAAAGTTGTGGTTCAGCACTTAATCGTGGGACTTTTAACTTTTGGAGTTGTACCTCCAGTGCTTTACAGCCTGGTTGTCTAAATTGCAAAGTACAGAACTAAGAGAGAGTTTTCAGTACCTGTAAATATTGTCTGCCCCCTAGTTTTAAAATCTACTTGATGTCTGTGGCAAAAAGACAAATATTTTGTCCAGTAACAATCAAACTGGAGACCTGTCTATCCAATTAAAAAGATGTAATATTTTAAACTTCAGTAAGAACACAGAAAATATCATAGCAGGAGTATAATGGACCAGGCGAGAAAATAACAAAAATAATGAACAACCATAGACCAGAGACATTCTGTGGGGGTGGAGTGGGGAAT